TTGGGTGAAGGGGACTTGGTGTGGGTGAGGATACAGGGCAGAAGGCTGAGATCCTTTTGAAATGCAAGAGTTTCTTTGCTCCCTCTCTTTTTGGACACTTGGAGGAACTAGACATTTTAGATCACCATTCAACAAAATATTATGGGAAAGAGAGGCACATTGCCAAAGATTTTTTGTCTTGTCAGGACAAACACAAGAATGCCAAAATTTAAACTATCGTAATAATTCATACTACAGGGCTAAAGGGTGCTGATTGGTTGACAAGTCAACGGTGATTGGCCAAGTCGTTACCATGGAGAAAGTAACAGAGAGCACTGGCTCCCTCAAGCTCTCGGGTAATGGAGAAAAGATGACAGGCTTAAACAGATTCCTTTTGTTTGCAGAGAGCAGCTGACTGTGTATGAATGTATGTCACCTCAAACAAACGTATATGATCCCTGTCTTGAACAAAATGGAAATTGCTGGAGAAACTCAGCAGGTTTGACAGCATTTGTGGAGAGAAACAGAATGGCCCTTCTTCAGAACTCAACTGATTCTCTCAAACCGGTTGAGAGTGTGGCAATCAGCACACTCAGAATTGAGATATGTTAGAAGCCCAGATCTTACAGTTGATCTTAGCCAAAAGGAAAGAACAATCTGGCGCAAATATATTGATGTATTCACACAACAGCATAGCTGCTGAAGGCCTGGTGTGTTCTCAAACTCGAGGCCTCAGTTGCTACTCACTGTCATCCTGATACAGTGGGCTGACCCAGTCTAAAGATGTGCGGGTTAGGCTGGATTGGCCGTGCTCAATTGTCCCATAGTGTCCAGGGATGTGCAGGTTAGGCTGGATTGGCCATGCTAAATTGTCCCATAGTGTCCAGGGATGTGCGGGTTAGGGTGGCTTGGCCGTGCTAAATTGTCCCGTAGTGTCCAGGGATGTGCAGGTTAGGGTGGCTTGGCAGTCCTAAATTGTCCCATAGTGTCCAGGGATGTGTGGGTCAGGGTGGATTGGCCATGCTAAATTGTCCCATAGTGTCCAGGGATGTGTGGGTTAGGGTGGATTGGCCGTGGGAAATTGCCCCGTACTGTCCAGGGATGTGCGGGTTAGGGTGGATTGGGCGTGGGAAATTGCCCCATACTGTCCAGGGATGTGCAGGTGAGGGTGGATTGGCCATGGGAAATTGTCCCATAGTGTCCAGGGATGTGCAGGCCAGGTGGATTGGTCATGGTAAATGTGGGGTTACAAGGATAGGGTGGGGGTGGTGAGTCTCGGTGGGATGTTCTTCGGCGGGTTGGTGCAGAGACTCTATGGGCTGAATGGCCTCTTTCCGCACTTTATGGATTCTATGATTAATTGGGGGTGTTCTGGCAAAGGGCTGTGCATTTTTTTTTAACCACTTTCTGCACCATTTTAAAGGATCAGCTCTCAAGAGGGTTCCCACCCACGATATCCCTGATTCTCCATTTTGGTATTTAATCCATTACCCGCACCATTTCTGAAACACTTGTGTCACCCTCATTGGGAGGAGAAATGGGCAATCAGATGTCCTCTTCAGAAATACCTTCCTGTATTGCTGTATGTGAGGCCTGTGTGCTATCATTTATTTTCAGCATGTGGTGCTATTACTTTCAATATGCATATACTGACAAAACCTGTTCCTTCTTCTGACTGAGGGAGTTTGAAATCAGTGGGTGAATCTTGCCTCAGTGGATAGCTCGCTCTTCTGAGTCTGAGGGGCTCGGATTCCTCAACTTCCTCACCCCTTCTTTGTCTCTGTAAGCTCTCGCAGCTTCACAACCCTCCACCATCTCTGTGGACCCAATTCTAATTGCACTCCACCAAATGTCATTTTTACTGCCAAAGTCCTGAGCTCTGGAATTTCCACCTTAAGCCCCTCTCTCCCCTACTTTAAAACAATCCTCTTCCATCAACGTTCCAGCTGCCTGGAGGGCTCTTGTGGCACAGTGGTAGTGTCCCCAGCTCTGGGCTAGGTGGGTTCAAATCCCTCCTGCACCAGAGGTGTGTTGTAGATTTTCTGAGCAGGCCAATTAAAAATATCTCCACATGTGACTCGCTTTTAAAACTGGTCCAATTACACTCCTGTAAAGCACCTTGGAATGGTTTGCAATGTGGCTACATAAATCCAAGTCAATTGTTGCCGATTGTATGTTCAGGTGAAGTTGGGGGGCAGGGGCAAGGAAGATCTAAACTGCATGTCAGTACAGTGGTGGGCATGTGCCGCACCACTGGAGAGGGCTAAGTGGCCTTTCTGGTTTATGTGAAAGATTCCAATGGCACCACTTCAAAGAAATGCAAGAGGAGTTCATCGCTTGGCATCCCTGAGCAATATTAATTTCTCAATAGGCATTGCCAAACACAGGAACGTAGGTATGTGCACCAGGAGTAGGCTATTCAGCCAACCCTGCTATTTAATAAGGCTGATCTGTCTGTGGTCTCAAGACCATTTTCCTGCAGATCATCCTGGTCATTATTGTAGGTTACAGGAGCCTCTTGTGCAAAAACATGAGTTTCCAACAGTAACTTCATTTCAAAAAGTCTTTAATTGACTATAAACTGCTTTGGACATCCCAGAGATTGTGAACAGCAATAATAAAAATGCAAGCTTTAGTCTCTCCTGGACCAATTTAGTGCAATGTAGATCATGCCTCTTGGCTTCTCATCTGTGACAACTTCATCTTTGTTCCCCCATCTCCTGCAAGATGCAAATTTCTGCAGAATAAAGGGTTACTCTTGAAACTGAAATCTGATGCAAATGAACGAGTCAAAACTACACAACTCAGCACAGCAGTGTTTATCATATGTTGATACACAACTCGACACAGCGGCCCTTCAAAACACTGGCAGCCAGTCCACACCCTGGCAACAGATAAGGTGTTAACAAAATAACCACATGGAGAGCTGAACCTCTCGGACATTTATTAGAGGTTACAGAGGCTTCTGACACATAGACCAATGCGACTCAAAATCACAATTTCAATCTTGGCCATCAAGCAACATACCTGGGTTTATGAGCAGATACAGGCCAACAGTAGCTGTTCAATGAATAATAAAGCCACAGACTGGAGTCAGTCTGAACAGCAAGTCTGAACATCTCCTCAAACCCCTCATACCTAACTGACACCTGTGCTATTTGTATGACGCAACCTGTTTAGTCATAGAAGCGTTGCGTGTTTTCTCTCTTTGCTAATTTGCTATCCTTCCTGCCTTTTGCTTCAAAGGTATCGGGATCCCCGGTTAGGCTTTTGCTCCCGCTGCTTGAATATTGCTGAGAAAAACTTATGTTCTTGTAGCTTTACACTCTCTAGAGAAGGCTAATATTTGTAGTTAGGGGCTTGAACTCTGCAAACAAAAGGAATATGTTCAAGCCTTGTGTCTTTTTATAACTTCCCAGCATTCCCCATTACATCTTTCATGGCAACCCCCTAGGCCAATCAGAGTCAATCAGCACCTCGCTGACCAATCAGCACACTTTTTCTTCTCAGGTAGACATTGTTGGGAGTATTTGAAAGTTGGCATTCTTGCAGTGATCCTGATGATTGAAAGAGGAAGATCTTCAACAACATTTCTTTCCATCAACAAGATTCAAGTTCCTCACTGGTTTTTTGACACAAGGGTTTGTTTTTACACATTTAAGGCTCATGCGTTGAATGTTAGGAGTTGTGTGAAGTTGAGTGAAGGCATTGCTTAGGGTTGTGGCTGGTCGAGCAAACCAAAGGTTGGCTTAATCAGTAGAAAGTAATTTCAACTTACACAGTCACAATTCAAAACGAATGTATTTACATTTAAGAATGAGAAGCTTTTCAACTAAATATATTGATTAATTATCCAGTTTACAAATGGTGGGCAGGTTGCTGTTTGGGAGTTCACCCACCCTCTATAGTATGAGGGGGTGGAATGGGAGGTTAATTGGTGGGCTGGGAACACGCCTTCTATTCCTCCTCTCCTCACCCTCCCCAAAACCCCAAATCTGCCACAAACACACACTGCTGGGGGCATATCATATTGAGCCCAGAATGACCACTTTAAACTGAAGACGTTCCATCAGGGCCTTTGTCAGGACTGATGATGCTTGGTCAGTCAGTAGCGGCAGAAACAAAGTGTTTCCAGGATGTTTGTTTATTTTTTATTTCAGATTTGCCAGCATCTGCAGTAGTTTACTTGTGTGTTTTTGGTCCCACAATGCTCAGCTGTGCAGGTTAGAGTGGATTGGCCGTGCTAAATTGCCCCACAGTGTCCAGGCATGTGCAGACTAAGTGGGTTAGCCATGGGAAATGCAGGGTTACAGTGATAGGGTAAACGGGTGGGATGTTTTTTGGAGGGGTTGTGTGGACTCGATGGGCCGAACAACCTGCTCCCACACTTGTAGGGATTCTGCAATCCTCACCTGGTCTGGCCTATGTGGGACACCAGGCCCAGCAACAATATGGCTGACTCTCCAATAACCTCTGAAACAGCCAGTCACTTGGTTTTAAGGGACAACTACAAACGCTGCCCTTACCAGTCAGGCCCCCATTCTCTAAAAAGATAGAAAATGCCTGCACAGAAGCTTCAGACCTTGCTGTTCGAACCCCACAGCAGATGACAGACACTACAGGGAGTTGTCATCCTCGGTTTTTCACCCAGTTTTATGGAAGTGAGGTGTGAACCATCGGCTTTCTGATTCAGAGCTGACAATCCCAACTGAGTGGAGGTGGAGGAGGGGTGGAGAGGAGAGGGAGACAAAGCTCAAAAATATCTCTGGTTTTTGGCCAAGATCCGCAAACAGTGGATTATGGTCTGGTTACTGGCTTTGATAATCCATGTGTAAACCTGGTGCTTCAAGTGGTCATGATGCGGTTTCACAGTCAGACTCACTGATCGGGTTCACAGTTTATCAAGGTTAGGCTAGCAGCAGATTCTCTGCTCCACACGATTCCCCAGCACCTGATAACAACGCGAACCAGGAGGTCATGTCGAGAGCATCTGCTTCAGGATAAATTTGCAGCAAATAGCGATGGCAGTGCAACCCACAGAGAGGCAGAGAAAGGGGAAGGAGGCAGAAAGGGAAAGAGGAAGAGACAGCGAGGGAGAGGAACACAGAACAGACACAGAGACAAAGGAAAAAACGGGACAGAGAGATTCAGAGGGAGTGAAAGAGAAAGCGGGGGGGGTGAGAGAGAGGCAGAGAGGAGGATGGGAAGGAGAGCAATAAAAAGGGGAGAGGAAGAGAGAGATGGAGACAGGATGACTTGTA